ATTTTTAATGATAAAACCTGTAGACCTTTGTCTGTAAATATTGACTGTTGAGACAGTCAGCAACAGTGTTAGTGTTACGGATGGGCACCCGGTGTGTTTGAAGAGCGGACCCAACCCCAGATGCAAAACTGAAGTGTAACGAAAAGCGAGCTGTTTATGCAGGATGATAGCAAAAAACAAAACAAAGGCAAAGACTAAATGATAACCTAAACTGGGAATAACTAGAACAAAACATGGAAACTATGACATGAACATGAACCTGAACAGGAGCTTGCAAAAACCAGAACATTATGAAACTATAACATGAGCACAACATGAGCATATCTAAACCTGAGACTCTAAGTGACATGAGAACCCATGGACATGAAGCGAGATAGACAGATAACCTGACACTGAACCAAGCAAGACAGAGAACTTGAATACACACAAGGATAATGAGGGAAGTGGAAACAACTGAGGAAACACAGCTGACACAAATGAACCACAGGAGAAATACAACTAAACACACTGAACATGGCAACACAAGACTTTCAAAATAAAACAGGAAACATGGTGAGACGTAGGCATAACAGCACAAATTTGACTATAGGATTTGGAACACACAGACATGAAATACATGACAGACTGGGGAAACAGAAAGGAATACAAGAAGAGGAACATGGCTACAGTTAAGGGGGGCAAGACACAGACATAACTAAAAGTTATACATAGAGAACAAGACAGAAAATGACACATAAACCAGAGAGCATGAATGACAATGTTAACTAGACTAAACCCTAACTAATAATAACACTAGAACTGAACATTATCCACAATACATCATAAGAAATCAAAAATGCAAAATAACTCAATAGGCTGGGTCTCAGGCGCTGACAGGTAGGTTTCATTATGAGAATGAAGGAGAGCTTAAATACCTTACAGTAACTATGCTAATAGCACTTTCTTCTTTCACATAAAGAAAATTCCTTTGGTATTTGGCCTGTTGCCAGTGAGTTCATATAGGGTGTGAATGTGAATGTCCAACCTTTCCAGTAAAGCGATACTGCTGGATCAAAATAAGAAAAAACTGACCCAAAATATTGTATACAAGGAGGGATATTAGAAGGGGTTTATGACCCGCACATGTCACTTGATTAATAAAACTGTTAAAATTTATGGCATGTCATACAGCTGTAATAATTAATTAATAACTAATTAAAAACTAATTAGAGTTTTGGATTATAATTCAAACGATAACTATTTAATAACTAAATAGATATAAATGTAAGATTATATTTGAGTTATGTAATATTTTGTTCAGAAATTGGATAAATCATTAATGTTTTTTAAAGTTTACTAGAACTTATATATGTGTGTGTGTGTGTGTGTGTGTTGTTAATATGTTATTTATAATTAAGTGAGAGTGTGATATACTTGTCGACTATACTTAGTGGAAATCTGTATTTCATTTTATTTGTGTATGTTTAATATAAAAAATCACAATCAGAAAGAAGGTCTCACTTCTTGTTGTTCGACGTCGTCAC